CTGCTTAGGATTTATCACAGGAAGGAATATATTTGGGATGGGGAGTTCAATTTTTTAGCAGCTTACTAGCTTTTAATCAAACCTAACCTATCTAATGGAATAGTCCTTAAATTCTTTGGCCCTGCCTATATCTATTAGTCTTAAACTAATGAACTACTCATTGAATGACGCAGACACACGGGCCAGGGGTTCAGGTTCGAACCCCTGACCTCAGCGACTGTTGATGACCTCCGCCCTCCATCAAGCCTCCCTGTAGTCGGAGACACCTGTCCTGGGACCACCTGTTTCACCTGTCCTGGGACCACCTGTCTTGATGCTGCAGTCTTCAGTTTTACTTACCATGTTGCACAGGGTAACTGGACATGGCAAACAACATTAACTACTGGTACATTGTCCAAGAAACACTATATGGATCTAGACTCCCCCTGGACCCATCCCTATTTAAATTCTTAACCATCTAAGACTTTTAAGGAAAAAAAGGAGAGAAATAGCCTTAATTTTTAGATTTTCCTTGATGTTGCCAATTGAAGGTATGTCACTTTACTGCATACATGTGTGTATGTACTACATGTATGTATGTATGTATGAAAGCAGTTACACGTACTGTTTTAATTTGTAATATCAAAGTTTTGTAATATCAAAGTCTCCAACAATTACTAAGTGTGGTTTAATCATGAACACACAAGCCATTTTACAGCAAAGAATTACAATTGAACTGATACAGCATAATAATACTCTTTATTGTCATCCTCAAAAACTTCACCAATAAAGTACAGCTTTCTCGTATTAGCATATAGTGTTCCGATTAGTAGTCCAATAGTAACAACCTTATATCCACAACATAGAAAGAAAACTGATCATTGCTAAATTGCTATCTTATCAGGTTGAAGATGTTTACTAAAATGTGCCCTTGGGCCACACCAATTTTTTGGTTCTGGGATTAAAAAGAATAATGCTAGACTTAATATTAACACAGAACTGATCAGTCAGATGTCAGTTTTTGTCCTAGCCCTCTGTTTTCATGATGTTCTCTAGTTGAAATTTTACATAAAAGTGCCCAAGAACCATGGAATAATATTGGTGTGGCCTTGTTAAATTGTAAATTCTGGGTGTGAGGGGTGCATGGGGAGAAAACAAAATGCTGGACAACAAGTTGCTATAAAGCTTGATTGATATACATTGTTAAGAAGAAACCTTGTCTTTTTGTTGCAAATTGTAAATGTCATTATCTTGCAAGTTACCTATTTTCAAGTGCAGTATCAACTTTTGTTAGATTGTATATACACACATGTATTATACATAGATAAATGGTACATGTATTGAGAAGTTAACATTTTGGCAATGAAACAGAAATGCATATACAACTAAAAGTATGCAGTATAAGTGGGTTCATAGTTTGTGCTGTGCACACTTGAGGTCAGAGGTTAAAGGCCTCTAACTCCTTGTTCAGATGTGCTTTCTTTGAGGCCTTCATCTTTGACATATTACCCACAATGCATCACACCCTATACAGCTAATGTCATCACTTTGTACGCAACAATGACCAAGGTATTTATGCTATTATTGACCATAGCGAATAATACAGACTGTGTAGAGCACTGTCTAAATTTCATTAAGAATTAAAACCTCTTTCATGAAATTGCAGGAGGCATTAAAGTTGAGTGAACAGTCTGAGTTTAAATGAAAGCTAGTGAGCAGAAAAATGTCTGACTTGAAAAATACATCATTCTAATACAAAGAAACACATATACAATACAGCTCTCTAAGCACTAATAACACATTGTTTTGGTCATACCAATTTGATTTGTTGGCTATTCTTTCAGAAATAATGCTAAGATCATAAAGTTGTCATCTTGATAACAAACCATCACCACTAAAATTAAAAATAAAGAAGAAGAAAACAGAGTCTGAGGCCCATCAATCAGCTGGGTCCCAGCTAGGTCTCTGTTTTCATCTTGCAATGTTGCTGATTTTTAAACTTTCAAATTCAACCAACAGAATAATTTGGTATGGCCATGAGTACATGCTCTAATTATAGGCACTTACTGCACTGTGGTAATATTTCATTATTTTACAAATTCAAAGTTGTTCTGTGATATCACTATAGATTATCACATGGTGCCTTCATTGCACTTGGGCCTCTTGAACTTATATGCAAATCCTGTATATAATGTGTTTGCCATCATGTGACTATGAAGGAATTGAGTATGGCAGCAGCTACAATTTTTATTCATAAGCTGCAACATAACTGGCTAACACACTATCAGTTAATGTTACAGCCATAATGGACAGTATTTAGTATTTACCATAATGCCATAATTACATGACTAAAATCAGTTTTTACAAATTCAAATTTACCTGGCAAATTCAAGTGTTAAACCATCCAATATGGTGGATAAGAATCTCCCCAGCTTTAAGAGTTTGTCCGTTTGCTTAGTTTGACACAGGCTCCAATTTTTTTTAAATGTAACCCCCCAAAATGCTATTTGATGCATTATGTGGGGTGAATTTCAAGTGGCTTTCTCTTAATGTTAACTTTTGTGTAAATTTTGATTGCACAGTTGACGGATGCTGGAGACAGCCATGAAGTAACAGTTATAGTCACATGGGTGCAAATAAGCAGTATAGACAGTGTGCTGTACAAAGAAACCAACTCTCACAGAGAGGACCAAAAGGCTCTGCTAACATCTTCTATTATGAGCCTTCTGGTCCTTCCATATCCTAATCATCTCTGGTGGTGTCACCATGTGTGCTGTTAGTATCCTCTTATATGTGCAATAATTATACCCCACCCTCCAGTTGTGGAAGTCCTTATGTCCCTGGGGAACCACACCGATTTTCTCAAAACATGTCGCCACAAAAACATCTTCTAGATAGAGATATTGCATGTCTAAGGATGTCCGATACAGCTCACCACAGATGTCCGTAGACACGATGTAGCCTGTTCCCGAACAAAACGGTGGGTACTTGTTGCCGGGATACGTCTCTTTCGGCATGTACCACTTTGATTTGGGGTTGCGGATGGGTGCTCCAGTTATAACGTACCCCATGGCCATTCTTCGAGACTTCTCGGGCGGCAGCGCTTGTAGCACTTTGGCCAGGTTTGCGAAGCTGACATACATGTCGTCATCAGTTTTCATGAAGTATTTGGAGTGTGCGCAGTAGTTGGAGACCCAGCGCAGGCACATGACAGTTTTCAGTGTCAGGTTGTGATAGGTGTCCACAAAGTCTTCTTGTATAATGTCGCCGAACTGTTCGTTCTCCTTTTGCACCAAGGCCTGCATGTTTGGGTCACTGGTCTTACCGAGCGCGAAAAGACGTTTGATGACGAATCCTGGAGCGCTGTCCTCGCTGCCCCACGTGTCCCGGATGGCTCTTCGGTTTTCCACGTTCTTGTGGATGGTGCTGATGATGACGATGAGGAAAACATCCTGGTCCTTGCACTTGTCGGGATGGTTCATCGTCAACTTGTAGGGGTGGGGGTTCCTGTGTTTTCGAGATTCCACCTCAGTGTTCAGGTCTAACTCTGAGTTCAACGGTTTCTCTGGCACCTTTTCTTCAGGCTCCTTTGGTTCTTCCTTCGGAGGCTCTTCTTTCTTTTCTTCTTCCTTCCTTTCCTCTTCTTTCTTTTCTTCTTCCTTCCTTTCCTCTTCTTTTTTCTTTTCCTCCTGTTCTTTGGTATCAGTTTCCTTTTCCTCTGCTGGTGGTGGCTCCTTATCTTCCTGCTGCAAAACCTCGTTTTTCTTGGGATCGTTTTCTTCGTTGTCCTTTTCTTCACCTTGTGAGATGGGACTCGACTCGTTGTAGGGGTTATCCAATGGCGTCTTGTGACTCCCTTCTAACATAGCAGCTTCTCCTAAGGTCTTGTTAACCGAGTCTGAGCCCTGTACATTGTGTAGAACATCCTGGACTGTTTGACTACGTCGGGAGGGGGCAGGACTCGAGTTTGTCCTCCTGAAGTGATAAATCTCTGGATGAAGATATGAGAAAATGAAGACGGTGCCAACCAAACAGAAGGCGATGAGAATCTGAAACTTCACTATGGTCTTCATTTTGTGTTGGCTTCTTTTCCTTTACTGCCAGATCCTCCTACTTCTTCAAGGGTCACGAACTCGGGGGAAAAGTTCCTCAGCTTCAGGATAAAGGAAGGAGTCCTACATGGAACAGCACTGTCTGCATTGTTTATTCACTTCTTCTCTAGAACAGCAACTGAAAATGACAAAAGATAAAGTCACTTAAAATGTTGTACATAGCAGAATCAACAGGGCAAAAATTTTTTACAGGGTCTATATCTTTGAAATATTGATATTGGACTATCAATTATCACGAAAGAGAGTAAATCTGGTAAATTTGGGTGCACTAAGGTGCACACGGACCCAGTATTTCCAGCCCTGGTATACCATCATCGACTTACCGCCAAATTCAAACCCATCAGTGACACATCAAAAAAGGCTACATCGATTTTCCCTCTGCCTGATACAGATTCCCCCTATAAATAATTCATATTCAAAGCAACAGCAGAAGTACATTTATGTTATTATGTTATAAAAAAAGAAGGGTTATATAAAATCAATACAGTTTTTGTCTTAATTTGGCTGTGAAAGACTAGAAATCCCTCTCATAATCTACTGTACGTCTGGGAATTTCATTTTGGTGGTGACCTCTCCATATTGATGACACCAGGAATATGCATCTACATGACTGATTGTATTCCAAACAATACATTTTGACTTTTCAGACAGAAAGACAACAAAAAATTTACAGCTCCAATTTTACCTGAACTAATCTGAATTTACAAAAGGCCTGGTCTTCTAAGCCCTGACTGGGGGCCAAATAATTGAGTCAGGTTTGTAATGAAATTATGCTCAAACTAGTCCAAGTACTAGTTCTAAAAAGCTTTTAATCTTATCAAATTGGAACCTTATCTGGTCCTAGACTGGAGTTTCCAACTCAAGATATATATAATTGTAAATTCATCTAATTTTGCTTGGATTTTGGCAATGTTTTTAATTATTCTAAAGTCTACTCTAAGCAAAAACTGTAGCACAAATATATATTTCTGTGTCATGATTTTCATGTGGGGAAGCACCCTAATAGCTGCAAAAAACAATGTAAAACCACCACATATATTTCAATATTTACAGCATGTATCGTATACATGACAACCTGCTCTTTCAGAATAGCTGAATAATAAATGCTCCTACTAGACTCATTTCACTAGTATTCTCTCCTTGTCTAAACTGGGTCCATGTGACCATATGACCCCAGCGGCATTATCAACACATCAGACCTGTCATGTGAAGCAAGAACAATTGAATGTACCTCGAAGATAAACAGTTTTTATAATTTCGATAATACACCTCTGTGTCATTAAGGGGCAGACACTGGCTGGGTTGTCAAAAGCAAAGGTATCAGGTACTAACTAGTACACATCACTTCCAGATGGGGGTACTATCACTAGTATCAGAGATAAAAGACACCGTAAATTCAATTATAGTTGTATAAGGACTTGATTTTACATTAGAAGGGAACTGGAGCCTGAGGTTTTCACAGTTCTGTAGTACAATTCCTGGAAACATAAATTTGCAAGATTCACAGTACAAGCCCTGAGCCTTAACAGTTTGATTTCCAATCATTTTTTCAAGTAATTCATGCACCTATATGCTAAGTAAATACAAGGTGCAGCCAGCTTTCTTGAATTCAGAATAAAACAAAACTTCCTAAATATACTGCAGTCTGCAAGGCATAACTCGCATGAGGACCCTCTTTTGAGACTGACTGCAAACAAGTTGTCTAACTGCATGACCTGTAGTGTTCAAGATGTACTACCTCAGTACCTGGCCATGAATTACCTTTGGAATTTTTCACTGCTAACTAAAACCATTGCCTGAACAAATATAATTGGCTATAAATTAAGTATAAAGTATAATTCCACATTGAGAGCAAAGTAAACATGCTAGCCTGAAAGTGAAATTTGTAACTGTTTCAAATTCCTCCAGCTCACAGGAAAAGGTGTACTGTAAATTTTACGGTACTTTCATATTCACGGTTTTTCGTGGTCACTTCTGTGCTGCAAATTTATCATCAACGTAAAGAAATAATTTGCCTACTTTCTTTTTCACTGTATGTGTCGCCACTAGAGTGTCGCCACTAGAGTGTCGCCACCACGAAGTTATAGTTCCGCAAAAATGTCAATTTTTTTATCAGACTGTGAACTTTAGCTACCACAAAAATAAAGTAATTTACGGTAATTTCAGGTGCACATGGACATGCATTTACAAACCAAATATACATTAAAAAAACTTGTGGGAGATTGGCTGGTCAGATGCCAACTAGCTTCGGTTATATTATAGAATATCTACTACATCTTAACGTTCACCTCACCTATCTGTTTGTAATGTCAACATACAAACATCTATTCTGTGACAAACATCCGGCCTCTCTCTATATAAAACACAAGTGTGAGAATGGTGTCCTTGACTACATGTGGACAGTTGTGTTAAACTTTACCCATAGTGACAACATCACTAGTAGGTATATATTCTTGTCACTATGGTTAAAGTTGAACCACACTCAGGAACCTTTCATAATTTAAAGGTATTATTTCACAATTCACAAATTAATGAATTTACAGCATGTAGGTTTAAACTAAAGTCTGTACTATCACATCGTCACTGATTTTGTACAAGTTACCCATTCAGGGTGTATTCTTCCTGAATTCATAGTTATTTAATAACTAAATTATGGATATTATTATAGCATCTGTAACGTTAAAAATATATGAGATTCCCTGACATGCATAGTTATATATATGCATAATTCTTCAGACTACTTAAAAATGTAAAAAATCTGATATTTTGTAACAGTGACAGGCACAATCTAGCTCATTGTCTTGACGGTGACAATGGTGCGTAGTTTTGTCTCTACTTAATGTCTCAAAGTTATATCAAATATATGTTTATAAACATGATGTCACATATGTGCTTTGGCCACGTTTGTAAGAGGGGGAACTGGCAAAATAATTATACGGAAACAGTGCTTCAATATCAACACAGACAGCGATACCACACGTCAAAGTTAGCTCAGAATATTCTAGATATTCTAGTTGTACGATGGAAAGATAAATTTTCGCCCTGTTTCTCACCTGTAGCGTAAAACAGACGATTTTCTGTCTTCAGGTTTATAAACACCTCTGTCCAGCCGCCATCTTGGATAGCAGTGCCAGCGCTGTTCCAACAACACGCCACCCTCCCTTCTTGGTGTAAAATATCACACAATTTCACACACAAACGGACGACAATCCAGAAAAATAGGCTTAAATATCATTTTCGATACATATTTGTTACAACCATGTTTATATTTATCATATGATGTTCACCATTCTGAATTTATTATGCACAAACTTGCCGCTGCTACAGGGGAGTGCTAGGTAAATTGAACAGCTAGTAACAGGTTCATAAATTCACAGGTGGGTACAGAAACGGACAAATAAAGTAAAACCTTTATCAAATGTTTGCAAGTGAAGTATTACGTTTCATTAGAAAGCACCCATGGAGTGTTGGGAATAGAGAGGAGATGGAATAGCAAGCCAGGTAATTACTGCATAAGCATATAACGTTAGGTTGTCTTCTAACTGGCAGACAATTTATTATATTTGGCGAGACCCCCTGTAGCATGCCAGAGTGAGTGAGTGATAATGGGTGATTGGACTACCTATTTGTTCTTGAGGTATCATCACTTCCATTATTTTCCCTTTCTTGTGGGTAACATTAAGCCTGGGTCTATAAATGACTCCCAATGAGGCTTAAACCTTTAAGATAGAGCAATTCCCCTAGCAGCCTTCTTGTAAACTGCAGCTTCAACCAAAGAGCAGGCAACAGAAATATAAAAGTGTCTGAACTGCATATGACTGAAAATTTTGAAATAAACTATTACTTTTCAAAGTGAAAGATAACGTTGTGTTTGGAAATGTTGGACAATGGTTTTCGGATTCTTAAGAATGATTATTATGACAGATGTTATTAATATAAAAACAGACAGTGAGGGGAAGTCTGTGTCTTGGTACAGTTTCTGCAAGGAGGTAACCAGAGACAAGTTCTGAAATGTGCCATTAATATCATTTTTATTAAAAACATACAGATTTCAAAAGATAAACCCAACCCAAGACCACCAGAAATTAATGCTTTTTAGATGCTCAAAAACAGAATCTGAAGAACCAGCATTTACATTCTAATAGAACATTCTTTAGATGTGTAAAACATTGTATATTAATTTTCAGGAATATTTATTGTGCAGTGATAGAGTACATAATATTTGAAAAATCTGAAGTTTTAGTGTACATACTTAATATGTCTATAATTCCCACATTGTACAATAAAACTTCAGGAAGTTTATGATACAGAGGAGCCAAACAACAACAAAAAACACAATTCCTGTCTAAGCCTTAACCTTCTATTTGCTATGTGTTAAGGACTTATTTTTTTTACAAAGTTCGGTAGGCAGAAGGTTAAGCTGTACATAACATATTCCATGAAGTGCTACAAAAACAGCATCAACAAACTGGATCATTTACAAGGCAGTAGAATTCCTGTAGTCAACCAAAATTATTTGCTTACCAATCACATCTGACTCAGTGTCATTGGTTTGAGAGTGTCCTTAGTGACATACAATGTATACTTCATAACCAAAGTTTTATACCTGTTGTATCCTGAAATGACTAAATGAAAACAACAGTGGATCTAAAAATACACGTAGAATCATTTGTTTATTTCAGCAATTATATCTTAAATGGTAACGGGATCAGTTTTTTTTTGACAATGAAACAAAGAATAGAGATGTTTAGTGGTTGAAGCTTTGTTTGTTTGTTTGAGCCTTTGTTTATTTGTGAACTACTCAAATGGGTCACTTTTCAGAAACCTCCTTGTATTCACTGAGGTCATGAAGGAAGAGGTCAGGGTCAGACCAAGAAGGTTTTGAATAAACTTTTAAACCTCCTTGGTTAGACAAAATATTATGGAAGGGGGTGCCCATTTTATTGTCCCCTTCTCAACTTATCACATGAAACAGCCTTAAATGTACAAGTGTATTGGGATAAATGCTGGTGTCCAGATTATGACCAGATGCGTACGGTCCCATCCGAGCCGCCTGACACGAGATATTCTCCTTTCCTGTCAAACACCACCGCCTGCACGGCGTCTTCATGTCCAGTTAGAGAGCTGACCTGGAAGGGGAATTACAACAAGTGTTAAACATTTTGTCAGTCAGTGTATTGATTATATATATTTCCTGACCAACTTTTTTTCCGGACTTAAAACAGGAAACACAACAGTTTTCCAGATGAAAGCGGAAAACAGTGACATAATTTCTCGGAAGCAAGGCTCTTCACACAATAGGATCAAGTCTAAACTGGTTGGAGTAGGCACTGAAGTTTTACTGTACAGTCATTATTTTTCATTGGGACTTTATCTTAAAACAGGAGAGAAAAGATGTTTTTTGCAGTGCAATGGTGGAAACAATTCTGTAGTACAGTAGTAACTCATATCAGCTATGACAGGATTTTGCAATGAAGAGGTCATCACTGCGAAAATACTTTTGTAAAACCACTGCAGATTTGTCAAGATTTACTGTATATGAACAAGAGGTTGTCAAGAGTGCTTGATGACACTTGTGCTTGTGCTTGTTGCCGCACTTAGTCTGACAAAGTTTTCCTGTCCACTATTTCTGAGTGGGGGCTTGAGACTGGTACTGTAGGTCAATTGGTGTCAATCTTGTGACTGTTCATGATCATGGCTTTAAGTTTATAGGAATCAAAGCATTTCAACTGATTTGTAAAAGTTTAAGTTGCTGAGTCATGCAAACAGAATTATATTTTATGTATCTTCTGATATTGTGAAATGGGTAAGTTGTGACCACATATTATATTCATTTGATGATGATGACCAGTCCGTGATAATTAAAAAAAAACAAACATTTTTTTGGGAGCGCCTAGTACCTTACATTACGTCAAGGAGCACTTGACAGCAGACAAGGAAATTGTTAAGCAGGTTCTTGTCTGGACAGAACAGTTCAGTTTCTGAGTGAGTGCTGGGAGTACAATGGCCTGGGGGTAGAGTATTCAGAAGGTTGGGGGTTCAAACCCCAGTTGGGTCAAACCAAAGGCTCCAAAAATAGCACATCTGCTTCCTCTGCTTAGCACTTAATAATATGAAAGAGTTGATGAGAGTGGAACACACTCTACTTCCAGTGGGCTAGCCTGTGTGGCCCAAGGGCTACTATAGAAATGGAGATGGGCACTGAGGTGTGGGGAGGATTTTAACTTAAGACTCTACGACCATATACATTTGTACAGCCTGAAGACCTTAAGGTCTTTAGTATATTTCGTATAAGTTTGTAACTATCACTCACACTGTATTGTATTATTGTAGTGTCTGGTAGGAAACATGACATGGTATTTTTGTCTCACCTGTCCAGAGGCGACTTCAAACATCTTGACAGTTCCATCATTACTGGCGACGGCCAGAACTTGCCCTGAAAATGTACAAAGACAGCCACCGTTTAGAACAAAATTACACACACACTTTTTCTTAAAAATTGTATTGAAAAACACATATGAGCAACTGGGGAAAAAGTTGAACTTACCAGATGGGTCAAAGGCCACCCTGTTGGTAGGGTGCGGTCCCAGGTCCACGCTGGTGATGGTAGCGATGGCCCGCACGTCCCACAGCTTCAGTACGCCATACGAGTCACAGGACGCAATGGTGTCACCCTGGGAAGGGCAACAGAGGTTAGTCATCTGTCATAACTGTCAATCATTACTGGCTGTGGTTCATGACAAGGATCGTGTCCAATCAAAAAGCTTTATCTTAAATTGATCAATTTGTCTCAGAATATGCAAGGAAAATGTACAACTATACAATTATGCTTTTGAAGTTTCCAAGGCCGAAGAGTTTAATACCTCTTTGCTTAGAATTTTTAGTTTAACGTTGTACCCTCCCACAAGTATACATCTACTAGTAAAATTTTTATTTCCTATCTTAGCATTGGAAATAAGACTTTTTTCTACATTAGAAATGAAATGAGGCCAGTGGTTTAACCTAGCATAGTTTATCAACATATCTGACTGTTCATAAACTGTTCAGAAGTCCTGTCCATGCATACTCACCCTAAGGTTGAAGGTCACATTGTTGACAGAGTGCATGTGGCCATAGAAAGTCTGAGCACACAGTCCCTGATAAAGACATGGAAGAAAAAAAAAATCATTAAGTTTAATATTTGTATTCAAAACTTTTCTCTGGTGTGCTTGGTCGAACTGTTACAGTACTTAATATTTGCAAGTCAAATAATACTGTAGCAAAAACATCATATTTGCTGTGTCATAACTTGAGGCACCACAAATTAAAACATAATCACTGTAAATATTTCAGATCTTACATACAGTATGCACCACTGAAAAATTGTATGACTTACCGTTCTGGCATCCCACAGAGAGATAGTCTTGTCAGCGGAGCCCGTGCAGAGAGTGTTAGAGTAGTACAAGAACACGATACTGTTGACAGAGTCCGCGTGACCGCGCAGTGTGTAGCGACACCTCTCGCTGTTCAGGTCCCACACCTTCGACGTGTTGTCCATGGAACAAGACGCCAGGAAGTCCCCAGTCCAGTGCCAGGCACAGTCCCAGGCTGGAGGGAATTTTGAAAAAAAGTGCTGCTGCAATACTTACAAAAGTCACAAGGAAAGCACTCCTGTATACAGGTGTTCTAACTTTAGAATTTTCATGTAAAATACAGTCAAACACATACAAGTGACCACCTCAGTCTACATAGTACAATTGTACACGTATATCCAGTGTACAGTCCAGTGCCAAGCACAGTCCCAAGCTGAAAGGATTTTTGCAATACTTCAAAACGTCACAAGAAACACTGTTCAGTATACAGGAGTTCCAACATTTTCAAGATGCAAACTTTACAGAGTCAAACCTGTACAGCTGCATGGTTACATGTCTTGTGGCTACTGTATGGTGGTCCCTTAAGTTTATTTTTCCTGCTGACCCAAGCATTAAGAACCCTGTCTATAGTAAGCATTTTCTTTAACTTTTGAGTGGTCAATTTAGGCATGTTTGACTACCTACGTATATTATATACTACAAGTACAAACTTGCTAGTACCTGCATGTGTGTGTTCTGCGAATGTGACGGTACATTCAGTCTTGGCAAAGTCCCACACCTTCACTGTACTGTCTCCTGCAGTCGTGGCTAGCTTGGTTCCACTAGAAGCCACAAAATGGGAATCAAACTTAGAAATATGATATAGTTGTTACCATTTTGCCTACTTTCTCAGTACCTAGAAAATTAAACCTACTACTAGTACTAGCATTCTGAAGAAAACCCAAATGATAGTCGACTAAAGTCATGGTAACAAGTTCATACATAAGAGAGATATTTAGGAGGATTTTATCTTCTTTTGATACAATTTTCTACTACTGTCCCCATTGATCAAGAATTGGCAATGACTTGATATTCAGTCACTAGCATTATTTTTCTTTTATATGAGTGAAAATAAAATTGGTATAGCCTAATAACTGTGTTTTTTATGCAGTATGGTTTACTCATCCTAGACTCTGCCCCCTGTGATGATGTCATGACCTGATTGACAGTTACCTTGGATGGAAGTCAGCTGACGACACCCAGTCCTCGTGACCCTCTCCTGTCATGATGACATCCCCGTTAGGGATGGCCCACATCTTCCAATTGTGATCGTCACTGGTGGTGACCAGGATCTCTTTACGAGGGTGCAGGGCCAGGCTGGCACACACAAACGAAATAGATGTCTTAAAACTTCATTATATACTCAGTCTGATACTCAAAATCATCTACTAGTAGTATATTAACTTCTAACAAGTTTTACATCTCATCTAAGACGATGTCCATTTAAGCCACAGCTTTAACTCATTTTCTCATTACTATGCCTTTGGGTTTCCCATGTCCACAGTCCTGTCAGCTGGACAGACAACTTACTTGCTGATGGCCAGTTGGTGAGCATGCAGGGTGTTGGTCAGTCGGAATCCACCGGTCCTGGTCAGATGTCCAGTGGGTGTTTTTTGACTGGTCAAGTAGGGATTGACCCTGTTGTCCATAGGGAACTCTGTGTCCTATTGTGCACAAATACCATGGGACGGTTATGCACATCTCAATGTAAAGTGTGGGGGATTGGAAGGGCAATTGAACTATGGGCTGAAGAATAAAGGTACAGTTTCTTGATCCTTACCTTGGGATGTCTCTTAAACTCGCTCCTGGTGGGGTCCTTACTGGGATCGTAGCCCGGCAGACCCTCGATGTTCCTAGCCTGGCGCAGGCTCTGCTGCGTGGGCCCTATCCCTGCCTTGGCCAACTCACGGGAACTATGGACTGAACGTAAACAAAGGGCTTCATTTCTGAGTGCGTACATGTTACGTTAATTCAATCCAATTGAGCCAGGTTTCATGCTATTCTTTTCATTTGCACCAGTTATGAATTTTGACAAATCAAACTCAGGAAATAAATGAAGTCATATTCTTCTTAGATACACTCAGAGGAACTGGTGCTTAAGAACAGGCTACTCCCAACCCAGTTGGTTTTGAATGGTTAGTGAGCAAATTTGTGGGAAGGTCTTGACCAAGGCCTACAATATCAATGAAGATGAAATACATCTTGCCTACCTCCTTGAAGAAAGACTGGCTCTCCCCTGCCTGTCTCAATGTTCTTCAAGGTGGCCTGGAGTCCACTCACCTGTGACAAGATAAGTAAAAAGAAAGCATTAAAATCCAAAAAATAATCATGAAAACATGATGAAAAACACCCCTATATCAATAAGATTCCTTGATTCTCTGAAATTCTAGATTTCTTAAGAGGGCACCATGAAATCCAAAGGAAACTTACATCTGACTCTGTTTACTCCCTCAGAAACTGTGTGTACCAGTTGGTAGTGCAACCGACACTTTCCCCTCAGTCTGTTTTTATATTCAATTCTAAATTCCAATTTAGCATTTAAGAGTGAGTGAGTGAGTGAGTGAGTGAGTGAGTGAGTGAGTGAGTGAGTGAGTGAGTGAGTGAGTGAGTGAGTGAGTGAGAGAATAGTCCTGACCTGTCCCACGGCCCTGTCTCTCTCCAGTTTGGACAACATCTTCTCCTTCATGGCCGTCTCATACTTGTGTTTGAGCTGACGGAGGGTGGGCTCGTAGGAGGCGTAGTGTTTCTTCAGCCTAGGGAACAGGAGAACATATCTTAACCTTGAGCCTGATAAGGGAGCGTTTGGCACCAAGTTTGTATTGGTTACATGCACATACTTCAAGTGTACATCGTTTTTTTTTTTGTGCCCTCAGTATATTATGAAGACAAATTTAACCTAATTTTAATATCAAGTTAATTCATTCAGAACCTTCTTACGACCCTGCTTTTGACTACTCTCCAAGCAAGGTGCACCACAAAAAACACAAATTCAAAATAAAAGAAAAACAATTGAACATTTTGACATTCCTGTACCTCTTGATATCGGTGACAAGCTTGTTCTTCTCCTGTACCACCCTCTTGTGGTGCATGCGGTGGAAATCTCTCTCCTTACGCAGCTTCACATACATGTCCTTGGCTTTGCTGTGAGTAAAGGGAAAAATACAATTGTATTTTTAAAATTTTTGATTATGCTTATTGATGAAGGCACATTTCAAAACCAGGGCTCGGCTGTTTGTGTGAATGCGTGGATGTTTGCGTGAATGTAAACAAGCAATTCATTACAATAAGCACTAGTTCTTAAGTTGTCTCTTATATAATTATAGTTATCGTTCCTAGAAACTGCCTGGCCAGGCCCAGGGCTAGGAATTGTGCCATAAGCATAACCCAAACGATTGTACTTTAAAACTTGGTTCTTTTGAAGACGATCAGGATTGTTGGGATGAAGGTTATGTTTGAGACTTGTGTCTTACTTGGCAGCATCCTTGAACTTGTCCACTTCCTTCCTGAGAAGTTTGACATGGTCGTCCAGCTGCTGGTTTCTGTACAGGGGAGACAAAGGTTGGAAACTGGGATTGTGTGGCATAATGATTGGATGTTTGGTCTAGAAACAAACAATGAGAAAATGTTGGCATTCTATCACCATAAGACTAGACCAAAAAAAATATACTACAATGTGTAATGTTTTGGCAGGCAGGTGTAATGTTTTTTTTTTGTAGTGACCTTACCTGGAGTACACATCAGGGACAGGCTGTATATCCTCTTCCCTTAGGAGACCCTTCTGTTGAAGTTCATACCTGAAGAAAATCAAAGTTGTGATGTTATTTGATTTCTTAGGCTGGTAATGGTCCTACGTCTGCCGCAGGACAGATTGCCCTCTGGACTTTGAGCAATCCGACCTGTGGTTGGGCTGGTACCTCGCGTGATACGGAATTCATCGTGTTGTACTCTAAATCACAAATTACTAGTATATTCAAGGCAGCAAAATTTCACAGTCTGAGAAAAATGGACATGTTTGCTGAACTATGTTCACAGTGGTGGCAGGTCCAGAAAAAGAGAGTCAGTGAATTATTTGTTCAGAGTAATGATAAGGCCACACCAGTTTAATTTCTTGGTTAACGGATTCGCCGCTTCATTTTTTTCAGATTTGCAAATAAAAATAAAAATCCAGAATCAACTGCAAAATGCTCATATTTTGCCTTGAACAGTTGAACACAGGCCTTTTCTTCCTAGTTGTTACAGTTATTCCATCTTTCAATGCAATGGTATCATTAAAAGTTCAAAATTCATTGTTTAAATTTTGAACCAGCCTGGTGTGTTGACTTCATGGCTCCTATCATACCATTTTGGGCCATAATACGATGCCTAGGCCTGTTTTTATTTTCTTTTTTTTTTCGCCCGCCCGCTCCATTATTTTTCTACAAAAATCTGTTAACCAAGAAATTAAATTGGTGTGGCCTAAATTGTGATTTACAGTATTACACATACCCAGAAGCATATCAGCACAATGGTTTTCCATGAAAACTTACCACTCAGTCTGGAAGCATTCCAGAGTCTTCCTCATGCCCATCTTCAGGAGATAGTTACGCACAAAATCATCCACAACCTCCGGACGTTCGATAACAGTCGGGCCAGGAGCACCTTCTCTACGCAACTGGAACAACAATCAGAGATTTCAGATTTTAGTTTTTTTGTTCACAGATCTTTAGGAAGTACTTTGAGAACTGTGAAGGGGATTGTACTGTCTAGTAGTTTAATGAGGTATTATACATCAATGCCCTTAAGACATGTAAATAAAGTGGATAGTTGACTTACTGCAGCCTTTATGTCCTGTGCTGCCTCCTCAATCACTCTCACGGCTGCATCCAAGTCCTCATCTCCTTCTGAAAACAGCAGGGACATGATGTTTACTCATCTTTTGTTTGTTTGTATAGCCGGTAAACCTTTAAGGTGCAACACACCAGTTTTGTACAAAGTTGAGTGTATTACTATTAATTCCTCAAGCTAGCCTTTTTAGGCGTAACACATCAGTACATGTAAGTACATGTACAAGCAACGTCCTATCCGAGGGACGTCCCTAACCAAAGTTAGGACTCATTTCTACCTGAGTGAAGTGAGGATGGTCATGTTAAGTGCATTTGACAAGGACACAAGATTGGTGACATAGGTAGGATTCGAACCTGCGAACTCTGGGTCCAGAGCTAAACAAGCTACCGTTTACACCACACGACCCCACGTTATGGAGGGCTCTCCTCAAACATGGGAACTTAAGCTTCATGTCCCATCTATGAGGATGGCTGAGCAATGTACTCATTTTCACAGAAAGCTATGTGCTAAGTACTCATTTTCACCAAACAATATGTAAATGAGTTGCCATATATGGAGGGGGAGTTTACCTGCGATGGTCTCCTCATCCACTGACACCTCCTCATACCTGTAGTCATCATCCAGGTCTTCTGTGATGGTGACCTCTGGGTCATAGGTCAAGGTCAAACATTGTTCTACCTGACAAAGTGTTATTCTGTTATGGAACTAAAAAATATATGAACTTCCGAATTTCTTAACAATTCAGATACTGTAGTTCGAATCCCTACAAGTACATTCATGGGAAGCTGGACACAGAGGGTTGCCTACCAAAAATGCAAGAAAAAACAAGAACAAGAGGGAACAGCTTACGACTAAACAAAAGATCAGTGAAGAACAACAAAAGACTGTTTTTCTACAGCAACAGGGTAGTAACATGGTGGAACAGTCTACCGGAAGAGGTGGTGTCAGCCCCAAGTGTGAACAGTTTTAAAAATAGACTGGACAAACACATGAGAAGTCATCCAGTGGTGTACAACCCCCGGGCATTGGACAACCCCCACAAGATGACCATGTCTACGCAGTAAACTACAAGGAGCGGCTCAAAGTGGAAGAGAACTTCCTACCGAGACGAAAGATCTACTCTACTCTACTCATTAAAAAAACACTAAGAAAGAAAAACGGATAAGTACGCCAAACAAGTATGATAGAAAAACCTTCCTTTGGTGTATAATAAAAGCAACGCATGAGGCAAGAATGTGGATAATTTCCAAGTAAACTACACTGAGCAAAGGGGGCTAATAAATCAAATCGAAATCGAAAATTTGCTACACTATACAGAGTGCCCCCCTCCCCACAACACAATATTTTTCTACGCTGACACGACATAGTAACGCTTTTTCAAAAGGAATATAGAGTCTCTATAGCTAGCACGAAGCTTCATCTAATGTTTTAACTAAAATTCAGAGTTGCACGTGTTAGTTTAAGGGAAAGGATACGGTCCAAATAGTAAGCACCGTCGTCTGGAGCCTCGGTGTCCGCCATCTTGTTTCTCTAGAATAACGAGTTGCTAGGCAACATCGCATGTAAACAAAGACGCTTTCTGTGTCGTGCCTTCGCGAATCATTTAATATTGTCCTGTTGAATAAAGGTTTGAAAAATACGAAAGGCAAAATTAATATGTACAATTTTATTTTTGACGTAGTCTCACTACAATTTATAACGGGTATCATCTTTTGTCGTTCAAAATTTTGGCGTGGCTTTGCGTTTGGATGCCTACTTCCAGGTCCAAATTTCAAGCAACAAATAATATTTTCTTGTATATTTCTCATCAGAGATGATTTTCATTCTTTCCATTTTATGTCAATAAGTGAAACTACAAATGCATGTTAGTTTCTGGAATGATCTGCAGTCGTGAATAGGAAGAAAATGAAAAAGAATTTTAAGACAGGATGCCGTTTTAGCATTTCTCGCCAGATGTCGCTGCAGCACCAACAATGCTTTGTCACCATGGGAACGGTTGCCATAACAGTAAAACAAATATGACCCGTGCCATCAAAACGCCGCCATTGCTGCTCTGAACACACTCTCCTCGACTGCCTCCTGACTTTGCAGTGCGTCTCACAGCTTCTCTGGGCCCCTTTTGCCACTGTCTTCGCAGTTCGGAGCCATTTCACATTCCGTAGACAACAAGAGGCCTGTGTAGAAGAATCAACGATGCCGGCTACCGACCAAAACGGCGTTTCAGCCCCGAAGGAAGAGGGTGCCAACAACGACTCCATCGCCCCTCCCAGAGAAGTCGACGAGCTCGGCATCCCGAAGGGGGCGAGGACCTCCGAGTTCTACCGAGTCCACGAGAAGTTGCCGGCGAGATTCGACAACCCGGACTGGTTCCAGGGGTACCGCTCGAAGCCGGGCCCTCACCCGCAGTACCGGACGTCTAACGGGGACTACGGCGGCAGGAACCCGAACGTCCACACCATGCAGACCCAGTTTCACGGCCGGTCACAGAAGTTCTCCCAGCACCTGGGCGTGTGTGGCATGTACAGGAATCACTCCTTCAACACATACGTGGAGAAGAGCAAGGTCAACGGCGTGGACAATCTGATCACCATGGAGGAAAAGAACAATTTCCACAGAAGCTACAATCCCAACGGACCTGCCATGTTGTGATGACGTTTTAGAACTGTTTATATTAGCCCCCCTCCCCACCCGTTCTTCCAAGGATATTACTTGCACAATACTTCATGAGATATGTACATAAGTTACACTCTTAAAATGTTTACATCACTGTGTACGTGCAGTAATGGTATTGTTTATACGGTGCATATGTGTATTGTGTCGAATATTCGCATTCTTTGTAAATCACATCGTGTTACAAAATGTTATTTTATTTTTAAGGGACAAGGTCTACGGGGTCTACACTGTATTTGCTGTATATTATTAGTAAAAATGATGGCTCCCGGTTTGTACTTTGTGACCTTACAGTCAGAAACCATAGCAAATGTTTAAGACAATGGCCTTTTACTGTTTTTCATAATTTGCAGTATTCTGCATGTTTAAATGAATCAGATACAGGTTCTGTGTTTTCATGATTGTTATTTGCAAAACAGCCACAATATTCTGCATTGCTTCAATATGAAGCGGACCTTTTAAACTTTAGATTGGCAAATACTGATCATGATCTTGACTGATATTTTATGACTGAAAGTGTGAGATGTTTGTTAGTACAGTATGGGAGTTACTACTGTTGCAATATGTTATCAAATACATTGAATACTCTATTCATATATGCTGTGTTTGTGTGTTGATTTCGCTGTACTTCGTGTCACTTTTTTTCAAGAGTCAAAGTTTATTGCACAACGATTGTAACAAGTACAATGTATGGCAGATAATAAGTATATCAAGATTCTACATATAAGTTCAACGGGTATTATGTCTGGCAAAATGTTGAATAGAACTAACTAAGACCTAGTACACCTCTACACGCATGTTCTAAGCTATGCTATACTACATTCCTAAAGAGTACAATGAGGAGTTGTATACATAATATGCAAGTTCTATGAGTACTATCAGATCTCGACATTAACAGTGTCCCGATGGCCACTGACCACTAAAATTTGTCTATAAGTTTAGAGAGATTGGGATAAATTGTAGAAGTTTGAATAGTCAACTCATTTCAATTTCAATAACAATAACATAATGCCCCTTTAGAATTATGGTTTATGGTGCTTTCTACATTGTTCGATCATTTGTTTGTTTGTTTCATTGTTTTGCTAGATAAAAACTGTTTTCTTTAGATGTTCTCAAATACCACCCCATTTATTTGGACCTGGGCATCAGAGCTTTTCTCAATCTTGTCGCTGACGATCTTCATTTCGGAAGTCTGTGTCGAATTCCCGTTTACAGGGATGTAGGCGTTCTCATTTCTTAACTTCTTCAGCAGTTTCAAACGTGCCGTACACAAGGCGCACACCACGACGTGGAACACCGGGGTTAGTATGAAGGTATGGCCAAGCATGATAACCGTGGCTTGTAGTGGGACGGTATTCAGGTCCAGGAAGGAGTAGATGTACTGTTTCCCGTCGTAGCCGCGGAACCCACCGAGCCAGTACAGCACCACGAACACACTGTAGACACCGGAGTGGAGTACGGGATAGACCACCCGGTCAAGCCGAGACGGAATCCCGCACACCAGCACGTCTATCACAACCATGACCGAGTTCAACGCGTGTCGGAGGATACTACGGAGTCCTATAGTCACCGGCCAGGGGGAGAACCAGTACTCAGCCGACACGGTCAATGACGTAGCCATCGACATGTCATACAGCATCCAACCAATCCGGAGCGTTCTTTCTGAAGGTACGGTATTACTGCTGCGGTACTCCCGTAGGCAGACCGCTGCACTCCAGCAGAAGTGGAAGGTGAGGGTAGCGTACATCCAGTTGGAGTAGAAACTGATCCACCTGTTGCTGTCTGTAGGGACGCTCCAGATGAGAATGGCGAGGGTAAAGATGGCGCACACCACACGGTAACCCACGAACAGCTTCTGGTCATGCCACCACTGCGGGAAAGAAATGGTATAGATATCAGCCGTGATACAATGAGAAGCTTATCGCAAATTATCATATAGCCAGAAGGCATCGACCAATAGGAAGGCTCCAAATGAGCGAATATCTGTCGTATGTTGCAAAAAAGTTTTGGAAAACGATACTAATGTCATAGAATGCCGAAATCAATTCAGGAAAAGAGAAAATGTGAAGAAATAAAAATGAAGAGTCTATCATTATTCGCCATACTGTGTGTTTAGTCATTTGTTCAACCTTTATGACCACGTATAGATTTCATAATTTTTTTTTGCCAAACTTTTTCTTCTATCTTAATTCGCACGCTCGTGTCAGTTTTAGGGTTTCCAGAGGATGTCATCCATTGAATTAAATCAACAATACATGACCTTGCAAGTACATGGTAGGACCCTGCCATTGCGATTATTCCAGTACTGCACAGTAGAACAGTACGCGATCAGAGTTTATACTGGCAGAACCAGTTTTCTTTTGTGTCCTTTAAATACCGACTGTACAATTGGGCAAATATTTCTGCCACATTAAAGGGGAACTCGACAGAAGCATGCAACTAGTGTTCTGTCTCTGCTAGGTCATTTTTATGAATACCAAGAAGTGGCAACTTGACATTGGGTTTGGACTAGGCTGACTAGAGTCTGGAAAAACTTCTACTTCTACCTCTACTACTACGCTAGCTACTAGTATTATGAGGTTTGGCTTCTTCTTTGAAGGCAGTGGCCATGGATAATCCCACATTCTGTGGTGGTTTTTTTGATGTTACAAAGTAGAAATGTAGTCTTTTGGTGATCTTCTAAATGATGAAAGGATGGAGAAATATATAACTTTACCCCCCTTTGGTACAATACACAGACACACACACACAAGTTAGCAGACAACACAGTGTGAAGATTTCATTGGAAAAACGTGTTCTCACCGGTGTCGCAGTGAAAGCTGTCCGGTTCGGTAACATGTCACCCCGCCAGCCTTTCCCCGATGAGTCCGTCATGCAGCAAGGTAGAACAAGACAGGCCGCTAACTTCTGCAATCTTTGTTTGGTGCTTCTCAGTACAAAAATCATATTGGCCCTAAATTACCACAATAACCACAATTTCGGGTGTACCATTCAGACTCTACCATTTTTTCGCGGGGGGGGGGGCATAAACAATATTATTACAATGTACAGACTAAACCGATTCGAATGTTATTCTAAGAAAGAGTCTTTTTACTACATAAGCACTGAAAAAAAGACAGGTAGTGTAAAACGCACAAGAAATGTTTCTGGTTCTGAGTAAAAGATGCTTTGAAATGGTTCGATCCGGAAAGCTGTTGGACCTGTTGGAGAGGGTAATGACGTCATGATTGTCTGCATGGCCCCCTGGGGATGTATTACGTCAGCAAGGTGAGTTACCTCCAAGCAGATGTTACAAGATATTTCAAAGACTAGCCAAAGGGGTTAAAAAAAAAACAAATTTATACATACTGTACGAAACAACATACGAAAAATGTATACCACTTTTAAACCTAAAAATTACCAGGTTATCATCATGATTGGGTAGGATTTGGCTCTATTAGGCCATAATATAACTACTAGTAACCTTGTACGTAGTTGTACCCAATAGCATGACTGAAATCAAGGACATGTGATTTAATATTTTCCCGCTAGAGGACGTTTTTAAGCAGTACAAGATTGACGCACAACTTGGCGTATTTCGTTTCAGTCTTCCTGAACGCACAATGCCTGTAACATTCATACGTATGGTTTCCAAATCTAACGCCTCATTTCAATGTTATCTCCTGTTTAGCCGTGTCTCGCCATATAGCTTCTAGAGTGGCGACAAATCAGATTTTTATCGACGCTATCGTTCATATTAAACTCTATACAACCATTATCTACAGCTTAGTGGAGACACGAAAAGAAGATACATGTATATTCAGATTTAATGCACATTGAAGGCCAGATACGGTTTGATAAATGGAACTCTGTGAAAATGGCGCCGTTTTTAGATTCACAACACGATTTTCTAAGACTAGCTGAAAAACTGTCAAACTCACTCGACAATAAACAACTATGATGAAGTGTTTCTATCTAGGGTATTACCCAAAGGGGTTATAAAACGGCACATAGCTAGTGTATCAATATATTATCTTTTTTCACCAAGAATGAAAAACTGCCTCAGTGGAAAGTCATTTGTCATTTTCATTTGATAACAGATCATATAACTTTGCGGCGAGATGCCAAAAAGATTGGCACCATAGGAAGAGCCACGGTGTACAAAGCACGAAGCGTCATGGAATATGCATCATTATGTTGGATGGGGGCTTCTACATACAAGGAGGATATTGAAGACTAATTCCACTTTATGATGTCATGTCCAACAAATGAAGAAAACAGACAAAACAGCAATCCATAGCTTCCAAAACTTATGTTACATTACCCCATTCAAAATCAGATATCATTAATATGCTCCTTTCATGCCGTTGGAAAATTCATATCCGAATCACTACAAAAGCGACACCATACTCCTGAATTATAGCTAGAATGTAATAATACTCTCCTCAAGAAAACATACAATAGATTATCTTTAGTACCATTATGAATTAGCTCTGTTAGAATTGTATTTTAGTATAGTGTATATATCTACACTTGTTTTTTTCTTTGCCATACACTTTGCAACATCATACACTTTGCGACACCATACTCCTGAATTATAGCTAGAATGTAATGATGCTCTCCTCAAGAAAACATACAATAGATTATCGTTAGTACCATTATGAATTAGCTCTGTTAGAATTGTATTTTAGTATAGTTTATATATCTACACTTGTTTTTTCTTTGCCATACACTGTACCAGTTATAGTTGTTGAGAAACTATAGGACAAACGTTGAACAGTAAAAGTTTTCATATATCGTAGCCCATTCTCTCCGAAGGGCAGAAAAGCCTCCAAGAATAATGAACTTCAACTTGGGATCAGTCTGGAAGTCAAGTTTACAATAACGGTAGTTCATCTAAATCTAGCCCAACGGCACTTTTCTGAAATTGAATCGTATTTAGGTCCTGAAGCGAAATAGATGTCTGGGCACTTTATATACCTGTGAGATTTGTTGAGAGCATAGCCGATGATAGTCGACTTGTTGTCTCCTGTATAAGTCAAGGATATATAATTTTTTCTTCGCTTTCAACAAAATAATGGCCATCTAAGGGGCTGATCACTAAGGTTTTTAGGGAAAAACAAAACTCGCTTTCGCTACAGATTGAAGAAGAAATACTTGTATAAAAGCTGACCGGGGGCCAAGATGGGAATAACTAGTTGGCTGACGTGAGTGCGATGACGATGTGTGACTCTAATACATGTAATTTTGGTCACCTTGGTGACTTAAATTGGACTAGCGCTAGTAACTAAGGACTTAGATGCACAATTCTAACTTATCATGACCTCTTTCTAACGGGGAAGAGATAGTTAAGTTAAAGTTTGGCAAAAAAACAAGTGCCCACAAACCACGAAATATGTTTAGCTTGGATTTTGACAGATGTTTTTGCACTACACTGCTCCTCCGTGGCTAGGCTTTCAAGTCATTGTAATCTCTCTGAAAACTTCGACGCCATTCGTACTTTTTTTTTATTATACCACACAGACATCTTTCTGGTCGGTGGTGGGATTTGATTAAATTCTGTTTCCTGTTATGCCATTGGCTGGGATTTTACTGCAGACACGACTATTATTTCAAGGTCCGGGGGTCCCAAAGATTCCTATCGGCGTTCCATTAGATTTGATTTCAGGATCCGGAGTGCCTTTGGGGGGATTTGTATCAAAGCTGATTAGTATGAATATGACGTCTATTTGAACTTAAAGGCTCTTTGATTCCGTCATTATGAACACGTATAGCCCTCAGCAAGTACATGAGAACTTTCCTGAGTATATATTTGATTGTAAGGATGATAAAGAAAGAAGATAATAAAGAATATATGACCACCCTATCTAGCTATACTCCTCTGCACAAGTGGGTAGCTGAACTACGAAGTAATGATTTTCTAGAACACCAGCAAACACACCGAATCCAAATGTCAGATTAAATATTTTACCCACAAAGGATAGAGTTGTGGGGAGGGGGGTGCACTCTGTATAGTGTAGCAAGTTTTCGATTTGGATTTGATGTTTATTATATAGCCCCCTTTGCTCAGTGTAGTTTACTTGGAAATTATCCACATTCGTGCCTCATACTTTGCTTTTATTATACACGAAAGGAAGTTTTTTCTATCATACTTGTTTTGGCGTACATATCCGTTTTTCTTAGTGTTTTTTAAAATCTATCTGAAGTGTTAAAAATTCGGAAGTTCACATCTTTTTGAGTTCTATAAAGGGTCTGGAAACCAAAAACACAGCATTTTTTCCTGTAGGCCTAGCCGTACATCACTCAGAATTCCACAATGGCCTCTTCAAGTTACCCAAAGAGACCGTTGTCGTCACAAGGACGTTATACAATGTCACGGTCGAATTGAGGCATTGACTGAGCAGTCTTCACGTAGAGGCAAAGGATAGGAAAAAGCACAGAATAGGCTGGCCAATAACAGGAAATTAACACAGTAACGTTAGACCCTTATATGCCTTATCATTTATTGTCAAGAAAGTAACTTTCAAAGATACCTCTGGTGTGTGTAGAAAAGTTAACATTACGCAAAGTACCGAGCTCGAGAACTGGTCTACGATTTCTCAGTGTGGCCAATGCAAAGCTTGTTCAGTTCAACAGTTTGGTTTGGCATAAGGTCAATTTTAAGCAGCATATGCATGAATTACATATAGGTTTCGTTCAAAATCTGCGTGAAATAACGTTTTAAGAGGGTTTGACATTCAGATGTCAGAATATCCTACCACCTTGCTAGTGGCCCACCCTCAAAAAAGTAGAATCGCCGGGTTTTTGCCAGGAAACAGAACATTTTTCCCCATAAGACTTGCTGTACATCAACCAGGCTTTCGAATTCACAATGGGCTCTTCAAATATTGTCGTCCAAAGTACGTTATACAATGTCGCGGTCGATTGAGGCAATGTCTGGCTTCGATCTGCAGACTGAAAGTAACTCAATTGTAAGAGGCTCACAGTAATGCACAGTGGTGTAGTGTGTAATCAGCCGTATCATACTCATCATTACAAGGGCAGCGAGAGACATTAGTCATGAACTTGGGCCATTTAAACTCGACCTTTAAAGATTCCCCGTTGCTAATCCATTTTACCGGGTTAAAATTAACCGAGAGATAAGAAAGAATGTGGCATTTGAGTGTCTTGGTTTACGGTGCTCTGAAAGGCATTCGATGCAAATTCAGGGCGGCAAAACAGGATTTTCAAAAGTCAATTTTCTGGTCATTTTATAGATGAAGTAAGTTGAATCAATCCTCTCCCATAGCATACTGATATCTGTGAGGGGAATATGGGATGTCGCTGATGGAAAACGGCTGCTTAGTTTGTATCGTAAGCTGGTTCTAGCATGCAATCTAGTTTTTCATGGACGGTACCAAAGAAGTAGAGACGCCTCATGTAGCTTGTTTTAGGGATATTTGAAACTCTTCAAGTATTAAATAATGCCAGAAATGTTATAACAAACGGCAGTAGATGTCAATTTTAGACAAATTTCCCCATCAACTTTTTTTTTGTTTTGCTGCACTAAAATTGCATTGGGTGTCTTTAAAGGTTCCTCTCCAATTTTGAAGAGGCGATTATCTCCTACCGTCGGTGGTGGAGTCCGTGGAGATGTGTAGGAGGGGGTTGGTTATGAAATATGGATTATCGGATCATTATTATATCATCATATGTGCAAGTGTGAAAGAGCATATTCTGTGTAAAGCTCAAAGTGACCTTGAACAGTCTGTAAGAAACTTTCAGGCTGACGGTGTTCGGTGAGGTCGGCCACTGTTCGGCAGCGTCAGCCGAATGTTGGGGTCGTGTGGCGTACGACAGAGCACCAGAGTCAGAACCAAGAGGTCCCGGGTTCGAGTCCTGCTATGTCACCGATCTTGTGCCCTTGGGAAAGGAACTTTACACGACGTTCCTCACTTAACTCAGGTGAAAATGAGTATTGTCCTGTCCTGTATTTGCCCTCTGCGTTGATGGCGGCATAAAATAAGTTGAAAAACTTGAGTAGAGTGATAAAT